CGCCGGGGCTAGAGCCCCCTGAAGCAAAAAAAAATTTTTTTTAATGGAATCTTAACCCCTTGAACTAAAATAAATTATTTTGATTGCCCCCTGAAAGATTTCTTTTATAATTCTAAAGAAAATAGATTTAATTTTATTATTTACAAATTAATAAGATTATCTAAATATTTATTAAATGAATACTATTTTAAATATTAGATTAAATTAATACATATAAATTATAGCTAGCAATCAAATTTTGTGTTAAAAATAGAATATCAATATCACTCACTTAATATTAATTTATCATTAACAGTTGAAGCTTAATTGGCTATTATTATTTAAATTATTTTATAACCTTAATTAAATAAATATAATCATTTATTAATTGAAAACTAAAAATTTAATATTGTAATTAGCAGAGTTCAAAATAACTAATCAACTATATTTATTTTTAAAATTTATTATCATACCTATTCCTAAGAATATTTTCAAGGTCCAAATAAGTATATTAAAAAGTAAGAAAGTAGACATATAGTTAAGATCCTCTATTATATACAGTTGTTTATAAAATATTAGGTAAAATGCCACTTTTATCGACGTATTTGACAGTTATAATATACTACAGCTAATATTATAATGAATTTTACTAATAAATGCTTTTGATAATAAATATAGTAAAAATTGCCTTCAAGTTTTTAACGCCATCTATTTAGTTATAAATATTTTAAAAATTAAACGTTTTATTATTCATCTTAAAATGGATGTAATAAATTTGATATCTTTTCTTTTCATTTTTACGTTATGAAATCTATTTTTTTCTTTATCAAAAAACAGTTTATAGTTAAATATTTAATAGAAGTTTTTGATATTTTTACAAATTACTATTATTTTAAGATATAATATACCAACTAGAGGTGGTGCGACAAAATCTTAATTGTTTTATCATATCATTCTGGTCCTTATTTTATAGTGTCAAAATGTTTCATTTCTAATATGGCATCCTTGCCGTGTTTAAATAACTCAAGGCCTCAATATATTTGCACAATTATTTCTTCAAAAGAATTTAGTGTTTTTATTTTATCAATTTATCCAACATAATAAATTCTGATACTAGCTTACATCGTGAGTGTCATGGCCATTACTGCAAATTAACCAGCATCTATTATTTGTGTGGGTATGTAATTTAATATTATTACTACAGCTGCTGAGAACATATGATTGCATATTTTAGATATGCAGTAATGGTCAACTGTGCAGTCGTTTATATATCATTAAAAATGGAAGATAATCTTTTAGAAATTTATAATCTCACAATAATTTTCTTGATTACTTATCTAGCTGCCATCATACGCTCTAACCACTATATAGTTTTATGATTTGGATTGGTCGTTTATATTCTCTTCTTCAAGAATTGTTAATTTAGTAAGGCCTATAAATTTTTTCTTATTAGTCCATTCTATAAAACATTGATGGTAACAGAAAGTTATATTAGTTTCATGACCTTTTGTCAATGTAAGTTGCTAAGAATTATATCTTATGTGGTTTTTAAAAACCATTATCAATTGAGGCATATGTATGAATTAATTAACCTTTTTTATCACTTGTAATTCTTTAGACGCATATATCAGCAATCGAAAATATTGTATACTATAAAAAATAGATTTTGTATTAAAAAATATTATCTTTATAAATGTCTTGTATTGTTTTAATTGTTTATATGCCAATTTATTTTGTATGCATAATATAATAAATGACAAAATATGAAATTCATAATAATTGTTCAGATTTAACAAATTTTAAAAAGAATAATATATAAATATAAAACCGGCCCGAAATTGGGGGGTATGGAGGGAGGGGCGATGCTCCCCATAAAAAATTTTTTTAGAAGAGCCCCATGAGATTGTAAAGGCTAGCGACGCCCCTGAATTACTTCTCTGTTTAATCGTATGTAATAAAAAATTAAATATTTATATCTATATCATATAATTCAAACAAATAACAAAAATCGGCATTAAAGTTCAAGCAGATCTTTTAAGGATTTTCAGCCTGGTCAGGAATATATTTTACTATGAACTAATTTTGGCTCAAATTTTTATTTAGCCAAACCTAGTCACTATCTATTGTCCACCGGGAAAAATAGTTAGCATTTTGACATTTTTTTAAACCAGTTCAGGCCTATTTAGGCCGTGCCCATCTTTAAATTTATATTCGTAATTAAAGCGATTAATTTTCATTTACCACATTCTGTTAGATTTAGATGCTGTAAACTTAATCACGTCTTTTCCTTTTATTTAAAGGTAATTTTCCAATTCAACTAGCTTCCTATCCTCCTTTATTTCAATATGGGAAATCCCTAATTTATATTTATGTTAGAATAATTTTATTTTTCATTTTATTCTAGTGATTTAAGAATTTTTTTTAATGTGCATTGCTATAAGGAATTATAAACCATTCCAAAAAATAATTATTATAAATGTCAGCCAAAGATCTTTTCGCATTTAGGAAAATTCTCTCTTCTCATTCCAAGCTGACGATATGGTCATTAAAATATCATGAAGAGTCTTCCATTACAAAGCTTTTAACACACTATTATGGCTTTCCCATATTGAAAATTTATATAAACAAATGAAACTTGAAAAACTAATTATTTAATTTATAAGAATGAAACTGAAAAGATTTTATTAATATTTTTACCCTTTATTTTTAGATAATGTATTAAACAGTGGTTCGGACATAAAAATATACAATTCAATTATGAATATAACTTTATATCCAAGATTAATCAGATTAATACATTGAATATTTTTCTCAGTATAAAACAATATTCTTATTATATAAAATTTGATCCAGTTGATAAGCAGGTGGGAGGGGAAATTAGTTGTAAGATCCAGAAGAATGCAAGCATGTTCTGGACGATCGCGATGAGTATACTCGATGTTGAGTGAAAATAACTTGGGAGAAAGATGTTGCACACTAGTTTATAAATTTATTTTAGATTGATTAAAATTATATATATATAGGAAAATTATGTTATTTTTATTTATTAATGTATACGAAATAAAAATATAAATTTTGAAATTAGATTAATGTAGTGATTTTACAATTGAAATTTGTGACCGACTTTCAAAATATTGTTCAACAAAGAAAATTTGAGAATAATAAGGATTGGTTATAGTTTTAAAATTTATAACTTTTTAGCACCCTGAATTCAAATACCAGATTCTGATATGTGATAAAGATGCTCCTGATAAATTCAAAAGGGTTAGTCATACAGCCAAGGCTATATGTTTGGCGGGTGAATTTAGTGATCAGATTAGTGGATGGTCTAGTGCTTGGAATTCATATCCAAAAAAATAGAATTTATCTTAAGATATATATTTTATTTAAGACCGACTCAGAATTAGGCATTGTCTAGCCAATTTATTATTCGGTTCGGATCGTATTTAATTTATCAAAATTAATTTTTATTAATAAAATAAACTTTAGGTATAGGTTATATAGTTATTTATTTTAATTCATTTAGCTTTTACGAAAATAGAAAGAAGAAAAAAAATGTAATAACTTTAATGATACGAAAATTATAAATATAAGATAACGGAGATTATAGAGATGTAATTCATCATTTACAATTGTGGGTACGATTGTTTAATTTGTCCTTTGGTATCGATATCCGTCAGCGGGTTTGAAATTAACTTGGGAACATGCTGTCATCTTCTATTCACTAATATACTAGCTCAAGCCAACATTAGACCTATCTAGCCTATAGTTTCTATGGTCAAATATTTAAATATTTTTAAAGAATATGAATCTAACCATAGTCGAATCATGTAGCAAGATGAATACTAAAAATCTGACATCTTGAATCAATTTTACCAATAACAAAGTAACTAATTAGAAGCCAGAAAAAAAAACTATCATATCCAGCCACGTAAATACAGACATGTTTCTTTGAAACATCAACTCTGAAAACTCACATTAATGATTAGTAAGTATGGCATTTTAGTGCTTTAGCCTGTCGGTATATAATTTATAGAAAAAACAATTATTGCTAAGAATAAAAATAACCCCTAAAAAATCAGAAACACATAAATCCAATGAGGTGAGTGGTTTATTGTTGGCACCTTGAATAAATTCTGGATACGTTGCCAGTATTTCTTATAAAAATAAGATCATCAATAAACAGCGGTGTCACATATGCAGCGTTCTAAAACGTGACTTTTATTGGGAATGGGTAGGGAAGGAAGGGGGTAGACATTAAGCTATTTTTAGAAAAGTTTCAAATATATAAAGGGATTATACGTTTTATTTGAATACAAGTATATTTAAAGTTTAAATAATAAGCATTTTTTTCGAATAAAACGATTTCGATATAAAGGCTTGTAATATTCATATTTACATCTCGGATTGACAGAATCAGAAATATTATATACAACAAAAATATATGTTGTATAAAATACAATTATTTCTAAAATAGAATGACTAAAATTAAAGCTCTAAAAAAATAAAATTGTGGAATGCCTCTTATAAATTTTATAAATCTGAAGGAATATTTTGCAACACTAAAATTAATTGTAGGTATGAATCTGATATAAAAAATTGTGTTTTAGAATACAAGCTCCTACAACTAAATGAAAATATTGTAGATAATATGTATAGAAAAATAAATATATCTTTCGACTATGTTAGAAACAATTAACTCTAAAAACGAAAACGTATAAGTTCAACATTTTATCCGCTGGTAGCTGCTTAATACATCATGTTTAATAATTGATTATAAATTATGACGCATGTGTAATTTAAGCGTTATCACGGAAAATATAATTAAAAGATTTGATATATTATCGTAAACAATAATGATTCATTAAAATACGTCAATTTTAAAAATTTCAATCTTTAATACGTATTATTATATCAAGGAATCTTAACTCCAAATTTGATCATTATAAACTATTTTTAAATTTGTTTCAAAAAAAAATTATATGATGAAGAATATTTTAGTTGACTTATGTTTAGGTAAAATGAAGGTTGATACTGCACCAAAGAAAGGTACAATTTAATCGTATTCCTTAGTTAAATTCCATTTTTTTTATTGCACATTTTTTAGATAATAAAAAGGTTAATGTGTGGTCTCGTGTTAGAAAATGTTTTGGTTGCAGAAGAAAAGAAGGTATCAGGCCTGATGGCCTAGTCATTAATGCTTTAATGAACGACGTGAGGGAATACCCTATTTTCAAAAAGTGTTTTGAAAATAGGGGTATCGGCAAGATGAATGTTTGTGAAGATGGGGTAGAGGGGGTTGTCAGAGGTATGTCAGTTAATCCCTGTAAGGACAACCTTTCTTACCCCATCTTCAAAATGTGTCCTCAAAAATTGAAGGTGGAGGATAATATTATTGATCCTGTTGAGGATGTTAAATATTCTTCCAAGGATGATACAAAAATAAAACCCATTTGCACAGATTACGATTTTGTAAAGCTAATAGGCCAGGGTGGAGCTGCTAAGGTTTTCCTTGCCCGTTCCAAAACAAATGGGAAGGAATACGCCGCAAAGGTGATTCGGAAGCAATTCCGTGACGATATAGAGGTTTGCATTAAATCATTTAATATTTATATGCTGTTTAATAATATTTCTAAATTGTGCTTATCAAGTTCTTCTTCAAAATTTTATTAATGTCTAATAACCATATAATATTTAAGCTTTATAGTTACTAACCTCCATTCTACATTTGATTCGTATTATTAAATATTGACTATATTTTTTATAAATAGGATGCCTACAGCAAAAGGCTAATTCATAGAGAAAAGTTAGTTTTCGATAAAACTAAAAAACTCCCATTTATGGTTGAGTTATTCGCCTACTACCACACCCCTATGAAGTATGTATTTTATACTTTAATATAAGTTTATATATTTATAAAAATATTTATTAAATTGAGAATATAAAAATATTTTAATAATTAAAGATAATTATTTATCTATTAATTTACAGTTACGCCTTCATCATGGAGTACGTTGACGGTGGAGACCTCCATCGTCACCTCCGACATCAACCTAACTCTACACTACCCGAGCACCATGCTCGTTTCTATGCGGCGGAGATAACCTTAGCACTCCACCACCTACACAGTAGAGGTAACATTTTTATAGTAAAATTATTTACCAATTTTGGAATTAAAAATAATATTTTTTTTGTTAATTTTATTAAAATTTAATATTTTTCTACCCAGGAATCATCCATAGAGACGTTAAACCGGAAAATATTCTATTGTGCTCCGATGGCCATATCAAACTATCTGATTATGGCCTATGCACGGTAATAAATTTTTTATCTCAATAAAATTAATAGCACAGAAACGTTAGGAATAAAATTTTAGAACATAAAATAGATAAACTGAGCGCTCATATGTGTCTAAATAGATATATAAATATAACATTAAAGAAGATTGTATAATTCAGTATCTTTTAACACTGGGCTTATGATGCATTTTCTTTGAAATTTTGAGGGAGTTACTAATAGGGATACTATCTTTTACAACATACATCCTTATGATTGAATCCTTTATTTCAGTCATCGAATCATGAAGTTAGGTATAACGAGATTGCTCTAGATGAAGGGTCTAACAGACAATCAAAATCATAATTTCTGGCAATATTTTTAAATAACAGGTTCTGTTCTGCCCGTTTCTCAAAATCTTTAAAATGTTTATAAGAAATAAGTCCATAGGCTTTGAATATAATATTCAGCAATAACTTACAGTTTAATAATTTGTATTTTATTATATTTAAAAAAATATATAAAAATATTAATACTAATATTTTCCCATATCCTTATTTTTTAAAAACCTTTTATTTTTTAAAATTAATTTCATATCAATTGCCAAATTAAATCTTCAAAAAAAAGTAGATAGTAACGAAAATATTATTCGAGCTAAGGTATGTGCCAGCTCGTATTAAAATTTAATTTATTTTTTAAGTTTCCACTGGCTGTGCTCACGGCTCAGCCTTACACGGCTCAACCATGTCTTAAATTCGATTATCAGAAATGCACAAAATATATATAGAAATAATTAAATAATATTAGTAAACTTTAGAAAAATAAACTCCATCCATTTAATTTTTAACATATTTTTATTTGGGGGTTTATAGTTTAAATTATCTTAATAGGTTTTAGATTTTTAAAATAAAGATAAGAATATATGTTTGTAAATTGATTCCTCTTTGAAATATATTTATTTTATTTTAAAAAAATATAATGTGATATAGCCATATTTATAATTTTTATAAGCGTTTGAACTTGTTTAAAACGATATGAAAGTATTAACAGCCTTATTTTATTAAATTGCAATAACACCCACGTATTTTTGTTTAATCACGCCAACCTCCGAAATTCTATGCCACCCTTGTAGCATGAAACCACTAGTTGATACCACAAAAATAACATGTTCCAGCTTAATTTTGACCTAGAACTAGCGGGTTGAAATGCACGCACTGATTCTACTAGGCCATAGAGGCTAGAAAGCACAATCATTTTGTTATTGTAAAATTAGGACTCTTTGAATATTTTAATTAACACATTCGAAATCGGTTGAAAACTATACATCATTGCCAGTTTTAATTTTATCTATTAAAATGTTTCATGTACACCTTCTTTATGGAAACGGTTAATAAAATTTAAATTTTGTATTTAGCTTTCTCGGTTTCCAATAATTAAACATTCCAATTTTAACTTGGCAAAAATTTCCCACTAAGATTTTCCAAATAAAACATTTTCTTAGATAATCAGTAATTTTTTAATATTAAGAATAAATTTTCTGATATATTTTTCAACTTCTCTTATTTACTTTAATACATATACGGTTATATAAAAAATAATCTAGGATATTCTACCAAGTTTCATCGAAAGACGAAAATCTCTGCGAGTCGGGACTGTCTACTACAAGGCACCCGAAGTTTCATTCGATCCATATTATAGTAAACATTGCATTTTATCCTTTTATTTAACAAAAAAAATTTCTATTTCTAATAATAAAATATATCGTAGAGCTAGTATAACTTCTGGATTTAGTAAGAAAAAAATCATAATATTTACATAATTAAAATATATTTTAAAAATGTCGTTATCTAAAATTTTAAAACTATTTATTTACTTAAAATTGAAAGGCTATAGCATAGATTGGTGGGCCTTAGGGGTAGTTTTGTACGAAATGTTGGTTGGCAAACTCCCCTTTGGCCTAGAAGCCAAGCCCTCTCACAACGATGACCACTATCGTTTACAAGGTTCAATAATTACTTATACTTTAATGAAATTTGATAAAAAATATTTAAACTCAATAAATTATCATTGAATATCAAAATTTAATTTCCAATTATAAAGAAAATAAATAAATTTAATATATATTTTATTTTATTTAGCTAAATATGGAAGGGTGAAAATCCCTATATCCATTTCCTTCAAAGCCTCCTCCATCATCAGAGGATTCTTGACAGAGGTTTGATATAAATAATTAAATTTTATTTTAAAACATTATATCAGTAAAATTCAGATGAACGATAAAATTAAGTTTATTTTCTAAATATGCTTTAAGAAATTAAAAAATTTTCTGAATTTAAAACTGAAAAAAATCTAATGTTAAATTTTTAAACTTTTCTAGTGATGTATTTTTGATATGTTTATTCGTATATTAAAATAAAAGCTTATTATTTATTTTTATTAAAGTTTTCATAAACAAATTTTTAAAAAATTCAATTTATAACTGCCTTAACTCATAAATATATGCATCATATATAATTGATAGGATCCCAAAAAAAGATTAGGAGGAGATGAAAATGGGTTTTCCAATATAAAATCACACCAATTCTTCAAAACAATTGAGTGGAATCTGGTAAAATTACATTGCTTATCTTTTTGAGTTTCATTATTTATTTATATGTTTTTTTTAACCTTTTAAGCTGGAAGAAATGAAATTGACACCCCCCTATAAACCTGAAACATTGTTGCACCCGCAACTATAGGGGGGTTTGGAATGCTTCCACACGTCCAAAATGATAGTTCTCATACTTAGGAATTTCGAGGAATGGATTAATCCCAGTGATAGTATACCCATACAGTACAAATACAATCCTAGGATATTAAATGAACCCAATATTCCCTCAAATATTAGACAAAAAATACTCTCCTAAAATTCTTATCGACGATTCAAAATCACTATTAGAAATAGGATAACAATACTACATTAATTATAGAGCGAGCTTTAAAGAACTTTTATGAAAATTTTTTACATCTCATAGGACCCTTTTTACTGACGGAAATAGATTACTGAATGACGTAATCTTGGTTAATACTGCCATAAATAGCTTAAATGGCGGTTATTACAACCTACTATTACATCAGATGCCCTATTGAGAACTCAGAAATTCGCGGGCACCAGATTATATGACATCTTTGCAGACTGTTAAGAAAAACTTAAAGGCTAAAGCACGAAAGAAAGGGATTCCAATATATAGTATTTGACGGAAGATGACGATAAAGTTGGGCCCAATAAGAAAAAAAAGAAATAAATTGGGGGAAAAGTAAAAATAAGGAGCCTCTTAGATAGTACTGAAGCTTCAGATTATTTGGAAGATTGTCAAACATCGTGTGACGATGGTATACATCCTATTTATTGGTTAATATAGATTGTTTAATTTTGATTTTTTTGGCATTGTCTTAATTTAAAAAGTGATTTTTTGTTTATTATCGATATATTAGATAAAGATGATGAAAAACTTAAACCGAAGAAAAAAAAGAGGGATGAAGAGTTAATTTTTTAGCTGTATTTTATCTATAAGGATTTGTTTGAATATTTAGAGAGATTGTATTATATAAAATTTAACATTTTGTATTATCATATAATTCTAAATTATATCCTAGTGAGAATAAGACTGACTTTGACATAAAGCCACCAGCGATAAAATCTCTGGCTAAGTCAAAACCTTCAGAACTAGATATCCCTATAAAGAAGCAAGGCCTAGTTACTCATATAAGCCATTATAGAGAAATCGGAAAGTAATGCTAATAATAGAAATCTTCCAAAATTAATGCATGACGATGATACTACTCCAAAAATGATATCGGCGAAGCTCTCATCCTACGTATCCTTTCCATCATCTAATAATACTCAATTCAAGATAGCCAATGAAACAGAAATACAAACTTATTAACCACCCTTCCTTCACCAGATAGCAATGCGACGTGATCAACAAATCGAAGGAATTAGAATATTTTAAAATTAAAAACTCACAATATTGATAACAATTTTGTGATAAAAACGTCTTATTTATTGAAATCCGATCAACTTTCCATTATTATATTTTCAGCCAAAATTGGAACGTTAGTTTTGATTACATTTGATTTAGTATAGTTTTTTTTAACTGGAACACGCAAAATGCTTTATAATCACATTTATAACATCGATTATGATTGATTAAAGAAGCTTATAAAGTTTTTATAAGCAGATAAGGCATGTGTCACAACGTGTCATTCATATTGATTATTGAAAAAATTACATAATATATAAAGAATGTTAATATTATGTCTAATAAATGTAATGTATCAATAAATGTCGAAAAATATTTTTCTTGATATACATATTACTTTATATTTTTATAATAATTATCATTATTGAGGAATATTTAACGGTTTATATTTCCTTTTAGTAGTATTATTTTTGAATAATATTTTTAAAAAAATTAGGCATTTTCATCGGGTAAAAAGATTTTAAAAAAATCCCCATTAATTATTTAATGATATCTTAAATATTGATTAAAATTTTCAGCGAAGTGAAGGTGGACATTCATAATAATTCATTGCTAATAACAATATTAAAAAATTATTTCAAAATAATTTAAACTTTACTGTTTAATCGTTTGTAATAAAAAATTATTTATAACTATAGAATACAATTAAAACAATTAATATATAACAAAAATCGGGGTTCAACGCAGATCTCTATAAATATTTTTAAGCCCGATGCATGAAACTCTTATGGTAACTTGTAAAGTTCTTAGTTTATGATTAAAATTACATTTACTGATTATTTTAAAAAGTTTATTATTTTTTAAAAATTATATATTTGCGAACAAATGACTTTCTCTATATTGTATTAGGTGTTTCTATTTTTAGTAATGTTCGCCAAATATTGTTTAAGAATTGGCGATATTTTTTTACTTAACCTTCTAAAAAATAATAATTTTTAAGTTCACTAAAACACAGGTACAATTTTAACAAAAATTAGTAACAAAATGTAAATCTTTTTAATTTTGAAATAATTCTAAAATTAACAATTTGAAAATAAAAATTACTACAGTGGCGTCGCTAGGGGGAGGGCGCCGGGGCTAGAGCCCCCTGAAGCAAAAAAAATTTTTTTTTAATGGAATCTTAACCCCTTGAACTAAAATAAATTATTTTGATTGCCCCCTGAAAGATTTCTTTTATAATTCTAAAGAAAATAGATTTAATTTTATTATTTACAAATTAATAAGATTATCTAAATATTTATTAAATGAATACTATTTTAAATATTAGATTAAATTAATACATATAAATTATAGCTAGCAATCAAATTTTGTGTTAAAAATAGAATATCAATATCACTCACTTAATATTAATTTATCATTAACAGTTGAAGCTTAATTGGCTATTATTATTTAAATTATTTTATAACCTTAATTAAATAAATATAATCATTTATTAATTGAAAACTAAAAATTTAATATTGTAATTAGCAGAGTTCAAAATAACTAATCAACTATATTTATTTTTAAAATTTATTATCATACCTATTCCTAAGAATATTTTCAAGGTCCAAATAAGTATATTAAAAAGTAAGAAAGTAGACATATAGTTAAGATCCTCTATTATATACAGTTGTTTATAAAATATTAGATAAAATGCCACTTTTATCGACGTATTTGACAGTTATAATATACTACAGCTAATATTATAATGAATTTTACTAATAAATGCTTTTGATAATAAATATAGTAAAAATTGCCTTCAAGTTTTTAACGCCATCTATTTAGTTATAAATATTTTAAAAATTAAACGTTTTATTATTCATCTTAAAATGGATGTAATAAATTTGATATCTTTTCTTTTCATTTTTACGTTATGAAATCTATTTTTTTCTTTATCAAAAAACAGTTTATAGTTAAATATTTAATAGAAGTTTTTGATATTTTTACAAATTACTATTATTTTAAGATATAATATACCAACTAGAGGTGGTGCGACAAAATCTTAATTGTTTTATCATATCATTCTGGTCCTTATTTTATAGTGTCAAAATGTTTCATTTCTAATATGGCATCCTTGCCGTGTTTAAATAACTCAAGGCCTCAATATATTTGCACAATTATTTCTTCAAAAGAATTTAGTGTTTTTATTTTATCAATTTATCCAACATAATAAATTCTGATACTAGCTTACATCGTGAGTGTCATGGCCATTACTGCAAATTAACCAGCATCTATTATTTGTGTGGGTATGTAATTTAATATTATTACTACAGCTGCTGAGAACATATGATTGCATATTTTAGATATGCAGTAATGGTCAACTGTGCAGTCGTTTATATATCATTAAAAATGGAAGATAATCTTTTAGAAATTTATAATCTCACAATAATTTTCTTGATTACTTATCTAGCTGCCATCATACGCTCTAACCACTATATAGTTTTATGATTTGGATTGGTCGTTTATATTCTCTTCTTCAAGAATTGTTAATTTAGTAAGGCCTATAAATTTTTTCTTATTAGTCCATTCTATAAAACATTGATGGTAACAGAAAGTTATATTAGTTTCATGACCTTTTGTCAATGTAAGTTGCTAAGAATTATATCTTATGTGGTTTTTAAAAACCATTATCAATTGAGGCATATGTATGAATTAATTAACCTTTTTTATCACTTGTAATTCTTTAGACGCATATATCAGCAATCGAAAATATTGTATACTATAATAAATAGATTTTGTATTAAAAAATATTATCTTTATAAATGTCTTGTATTGTTTTAATTGTTTATATGCCAATTTATTTTGTATGCATAATATAATAAATGACAAAATATGAAATTCATAATAATTGTTCAGATTTAACAAATTTTAAAAAGAATAATATATAAATATAAAACCGGCCCGAAATTGGGGGGTATGGAGGGAGGGGCGATGCTCCCCATAAAAATTTTTTTTAGAAGAGCCCCATGAGATTGTAAAGGCTAGCGACGCCCCTGAATTACTTCTCTGTTTAATCGTATGTAATAAAAAATTAAATATTTATATCTATATCATATAATTCAAACAAATAACAAAAATCGGCATTAAAGTTCAAGCAGATCTTTTAAGGATTTTCAGCCTGGTCAGGAATATATTTTACTATGAACTAATTTTGGCTCAAATTTTTATTTAGCCAAACCCAGTCACTATCTATTGTCCACCGGGAAAAATAGTTAGCATTTTGACATTTTTTTAAACCAGTTCAGGCCTATTTAGGCCGTGCCCATCTTTAAATTTATATTCGTAATTAAAGCGATTAATTTTCATTTACCACATTCTGTTAGATTTAGACTCTGTAAACTTAATCACGTCTTTTCCTTTTATTTAAAGGTAATTTTCCAATTCAACTAGCTTCCTATCCTCCTTTATTTCAATATGGGAAATCCCTAATTTATATTTATGTTAGAATAATTTTATTTTTCATTTTATTCTAGTGATTTAAGAATTTTTTTTAATGTGCATTGCTATAAGGAATTATAAACCATTCCAAAAAATAATTATTATAAATGTCAGCCAAAGATCTTTTCGCATTTAGGAAAATTCTCTCTTCTCATTCCAAGCTGACGATATGGTCATTAAAATATCATGAAGAGTCTTCCATTACAAAGCTTTTAACACACTATTATGGCTTTCCCATATTGAAAATTTATATAAACAAATGAAACTTGAAAAACTAATTATTTAATTTATAAGAATGAAACTGAAAAGATTTTATTAATATTTTTACCCTTTATTTTTAGATAATGTATTAAACAGTGGTTCGGACATAAAAATATACAATTCAATTATGAATATAACTTTATATCCAAGATTAATCAGATTAATACATTGAATATTTTTCTCAGTATAAAACAATATTCTTATTATATAAAATTTGATCCAGTTGATAAGCAGGTGGGAGGGGAAATTAGTTGTAAGATCCAGAAGAATGCAAGCATGTTCTGGACGATCGCGATGAGTATACTCGATGTTGAGTGAAAATAACTTGGGAGAAAGATGTTGCACACTAGTTTATAAATTTATTTTAGATTGATTAAAATTATATATATATAGGAAAATTATGTTATTTTTATTTATTAATGTATACGAAATAAAAATATAAATTTTGAAATTAGATTAATGTAGTGATTTTACAATTGAAATTTGTGACCGACTTTCAAAATATTGTTCAACAAAGAAAATTTGAGAATAATAAGGATTGGTTATAGTTTTAAAATTTATAACTTTTTAGCACCCTGAATTCAAATACCAGATTCTGATATGTGATAAAGATGCTCCTGATAAATTCAAAAGGGTTAGTCATACAGCCAAGGCTATATGTTTGGCGGGTGAATTTAGTGATCAGATTAGTGGATGGTCTAGTGCTTGGAATTCATATCCAAAAAAATAGAATTTATCTTAAGATATATATTTTATTTAAGACCGACTCAGAATTAGGCATTGTCTAGCCAATTTATTATTCGGTTCGGATCGTATTTAATTTATCAAAATTAATTTTTATTAATAAAATAAACTTTAGGTATAGGTTATATAGTTATTTATTTTAATTCATTTAGCTTTTACGAAAATAGAAAGAAGAAAAAAAATGTAATAACTTTAATGATACGAAAATTATAAATATAAGATAACGGAGATTATAGAGATGTAATTCATCATTTACAATTGTGGGTACGATTGTTTAATTTGTCCTTTGGTATCGATATCCGTCAGCGGGTTTGAAATTAACTTGGG